AATATTAGATAAACACCATAATTGTGATGGTTACATTAAATCTGTGCAGAGATTCATGAAAGCACATTGGATCAGCAGCATTACAAGAGTAGAGTTGGGCAGGTGTTGTACTGTGGCCAAATGTGTTTCAAGTTGAGTTGGTGGTAACTGGAGATAAATTGACTAATGGCACTGAAGGCTAATATTGGACAGAGTTTAATCAACCTTTTTTCCATCTTTTATTTTCTGTCTCTTTCTGTGCCTACGTACAAAAAAAAACCTTACCATTGTCATAGCCCTGGCTCAGAGAGCAAGACAAAAATGGGAGACCACACACTTTCAGAAAAGAGGACGGGGTCGTCACACCATGTAAAAAAAATACTAGAAACTCGCAAATAAAATCTACTGCTGTGATACTTGGGGAGAAAACTTCTAAATCACATCTCTTTTGACAAAATTGAAGCAAAAAAAAGGCAATCAATTCTGCAGAAAAATGAATACAATTTAACCAGAAAATCCAGTTTGGACAGAAAGTTAGTTGATGGATAGTTTCACAAAAACTAAAGCATTAAATTGACACAGAATGCTGTTTAATACCTCAGATCCTGTTTCGCAGGTCTTCACAGCAGGTGGAATAAGGCCTAAAAAACTCACAGAAGAGCCACAACTGTCCATTCACAAATTGATCATTCTAAAACAAAAGCAGTTTAGTATACCTCCTTGGAGTCATTCGAATCCCTAAAGGGCCACTGCAAGAATTTTATGTTGCACTTCCATAGTGTCCAATGACTCACATGAGACTTCCTAATGAACACTAGAAATCGATGCAGTGGCAGTGAAATTATCCAGACTTTTAGAACTAAATTTATGAGCTGGTCTGTGAAATCCAGAGTTTGTCCGTGTTGTTCCTAATTAGGGCACTTCTGTCTGGTAAACACATCCCAATTCACTGGCAAAATAACTTGAGGTTAAACTGATGTGACGCTACCGTCCCCCTCCTCCCCTGTCATGGTCTAACTATTATTTAATTTATCAAGCAACCAACTCTGCGCAGCCTCAGATCTCCACGCCCGCTACTAATATTGCAGCCTTCGTTTTTTTTCTTGTCCCCCTTGAATACAAACAATCATCAAACAATCACCAACTGCAAGACAACTCTGATCAATCCCGCTGTTTTGACTCACGACTACAATTGTTCAAAGAAATCCAAACTCGCTCCTGAAGTTTTATTACTTGCATTCCCACATGACAACAGTCGGTAGAAAAGATTTCTTTTTCACTGAGGTATCGGTGAAAAATAAATGAAATCAGCAATGGCAGAAATGAGTCTTTTAGAGGCTGCACTACGACTTCTTGAAAATATAGCTCTTTGTTGATGGCTCTCTGTGTCTTACTGCCACTGCTGTTTCAGCAGACAAATTGTTTTGATTAGTCTGGGCCATACATCATTTCTGTTTTTAAGGTGAGGTCCCAGACCATTAAAATATAACAACCTTGCTTTTATTAAACCCTATCAGGATATTTAGGACACATCCCAATCTAAATGACATTTATTGCTGCACAGTTCTCCAAGCAGCAGTGCCGTGGAAGATAATAAAAAGTTTTTCCCTTTCTGCACAGCTGAATTGAAGCCATGTGTTCAATCGATATAAGTTACCCAACTTTTCAAACTGTATTTCTGTCTCCCCCATCATCCCTCCCTGTAGACACAATCTCTCTCCACTCCTTGACTTTCAATCCACACTTTACCTGCTTCCCTGCACAAGAACCTGAATTAATCTCCAAAAGTTTTCCCTCATCACTTTGTGTGTGTGTGTCTGACTGTATGTGTGTCTTTATTTTCGTGTGTGTGTGTGTGTGTGCGCACGTTTTTTTTTTTCCACATTAGAAATTCACTAGCACTACATGATCCTGTTCCCTGCCTGCAGCTCGGTGGGTTCAGAGATGGGGGGGGCAGAGGGGTTGAAGGGGGGAGGTGCAGGGTTGTGTTTGAATAGCAGAGGCTGTGCTCCCACTCATGTCGGCCCCACTGGTACTTTCTCTGACACTGTCAGCCCTTTGAACCCACTGTGACACCGAGCATCAGGTCACTCGTGTAGCACCCCCGCACAAAGACGACTCGCACTAATTGGCCCGCCTTCACCTGGGAGACAATCGGGACATCAGAGTGCTGTTGATAACAGGGATGTTTGATGCTCTGACTTATGTGTCTCCTGAAGAGCGCCTGCACATTAGCAGTTCACTGTGCGATCAAGGCGAGAAATTACCTTTTGTCACAATACTTGCACATCACTTGTTGTACGTCAAACACAAATGGTCATAAAGTCTAACTCTAAACACACACCATATAATGAGCCTTTTTATTGACTACAATGGGTGCTTACAATAGGAAAACCTTTGTAAACTGTGTACACAGTTGCATCGTGGTCATTGTCATGGCTGTTCTACAACGAGATGAAAATTTTAGATGCAAAATATTGAATGTAAGTGCATGTAAATTAGAGGATTTTCCAGTGTGTAAAAAAGGTGTAAAAATTCAATTAGGCTCACAGCTCAGAGCAGCCTCCCAGGGTGCTGTTTTGCCTTCCAGACTTCTGGATGTCCGCTGTGTCTTTGTGTGACCCCTCATCTGCTGGAAGTCAGACAGGTGGCGAGTAGTGGTGGGCCTGGAGGGCCCTGTCAACCCCATACTGTCCAGCAGCTGACCAGACTGAAAGAGAAGGAGAAGGAAAGGACAGGTGGAGGGGAGACAAAAGAGTTCAGAAAATAGTTAGTAGACGGGGAAAAAAGGAGGACGTGTAGAGAAACAAACCCAAAGCTGTTCTGTGTTCAAGTGTAGATGAGCTCTACCTGCTGTCACACTTTCAACAGGAGGCTACATCCACTCTTGACTCCAACAGGCGTAGCCAAGCGATTGCTTTCGCTCCAGTATAATGGCCAGCTATGAATGCTGAGTGTGACTGCGGGGGATCATTAGGACCACAATGGACGACAAGACACTAAGCACTCCCCAGAGGTCTTAGGGGCCCTTTCATGCCTGTCCCAGGGCTACGAGGGCGGCTGTGAGCTGGTGGCCAGCTGGTTCTCTGGCCACTGTGCAGACTAATGCCATCAGCGTTCTGGGCTCACTTTGAGCTTACGGCCATGTGGAGACACAGGGGTGTAAGGTCTGTGTGACACATGTGGCCATGTAAACACACATACACACACACAGTGGCAGCAGCTGTTTTTGCATTAACCAAATGCTTGCTAGATAGAGCAGATGCTGAAAACTTGTGTTTTGAGGAAGAAAGAACAGAGGTAAAGAAGTAAAGGAAGGAAGGGGCGGTGAAAGGAAAGAAACGTGGAGAAGTTGCAGTGTATTGCTTATTTGTTTCCAGGTTATAATCTGATTGGAAGGCCAATATCTCATACATACATACATACATATATATATATATATATATATATATAACTGTTTCAGCCAAATTTCAGCAGAGACATGACTCTTATGACACTGGACTGGTTGCTTGTGTGTGCTGGTAAATTGGCATGTCATCAGCATAGCAGTGCAGTGCTGTAATGTCCTTTTGTCCCTTGAAGATATGAAAAGAAAGAAAGATGGAATGAAATATAGATAAAAGAGAATATTCATTTTGCGTCAGTAGTATTCTCAGTTCTACACAGAAGCTAACTTCTGTTTAAAAAAAAACAAACAATTTTCCACAAATTAAAACCATTTGAGTCAAATGTAATTCTAATACAAATCGGTGCTACAGTGTTTCCTGGTCCTAATCTGCACAGCACCATATGGGTAGAGAGACCATGATGCAAATGCTGTCACGCCCAGTTCAAGCCTTTTTGGACCGCTGCCCTGACTGCTGTGTCTTCTTCCCTCTCCGCTCCTAAATAGCCTCCAACTGCAGGCTGAAAACTTGTTTTGTCGACCGCCTGTTTGAAAGACAAGAAGAATAAAAGGCTTTTCTCTCTGTGCCAGGCGGTGGCAATTTCATAGTCTTTTCAGAGCTGAAAAGAAGGGCAAGAGAGAGTGAGAGAGAGAAAAGTTTTACTAATTGATGTGGTAGCAGAAATCCAGCCACAATTTCAGTCAGCTAGGATGAAAAACCTATTAAGGAATGTTTTGTCAACTGCTTCTGCTCACATTTTATGCGCCGTGGCTCTTTTTAAAGCAACTCATTTGTGTCTTATTTATTTCCTCTGCTGGTTTGTTTTGCTGGCACCGCTCACTACGACAAATCAAAGCTTTAGTTTCATGGCAATGACATGGAAGGTCTCCAGCTTTAATGTGAATTCTAAAAGGACACCAGAGGGGTGGAGGGGGCGGGGGAAAGACGGGGGCATCAGCACTTTATAGCTTGTCCTTGCTTCGCTGGTTCAATTTGGAGTCGGTGCATTAAAACATCTTTTGATTCCTGACTTCAGTAAAGGTTTTTGCATGAGCAATTAGAAAACATCTTTAATAATTTACAGTCAAAAGCAAAGTGAAATCAGAGAAACTGATCTTTTTTTTAGATATATCCAAACTAAATGAGTAATGTAAAATAAAATGAAATATTCTAAGCCAAAGTAAATAAAGAGGTTTATATCTGTCTTCTTGCCTCACTAGAATAAACCTCAATAATTGCACCACCTCATACAAAAGAGAACACAGTGTTTTTCACAATGGTTTTCCATACAAGTACATGTGACTCATTTTTTTGCCAATTCACATGCAAATTGGGTTCAAGAAAAAAAGGCATTTTGGTAGAAGTTGTCAGAAAAAGCTGTGCCTCTGGCATCCGGCTCTTACTAAGCAACCTGGTGAACAGCAGTTTACCTGAAATGGTGTTCTATTTCATCAGGCGGAGTCTCGTCAGAATCAAAATTGATGATAAATCTTCAGTTTCTACATCTGCAGAATAATGACAAGTATTATTCAACCCCAGCACTCTGTTGGAAGTACTTCTCAGAGCTTCTGGATTTTCTTTCTGAACTTACCTGTTTTGTCTCTGTCTGAATTGTGAAATCTGTCTTCTTTACAGAGATGAAACTGACACCTGGCCCCTCTCAAACATTAATTACCTGTGCAAAGTAGCTCTGATGGTTGAAGATGCTGCTCCAAGCGTTGAGGGAAACATGTGAGTATTGTTCCACCAACAACAATGGTATTTAGAGCTGCATAGCCAGTCTTTGGGTGTCAATAACAAAAACAGACAATTTATTTCAGTTTGATGTTCAATACAAAAAATATTATATTCATAATGATAGAAAAACAAGTTTTTGTTCAAATTTTGTACAAATGCGATATGCTGTATAGATTTTTCTTAAATGACAATAAGTAAAAAAAAAAAACCACTACCATTATTCACTCTGGCTTTATCTCCATGAAATAGTGTGAATGTGGCAGTTTGATGAAAGAAACAAACCACAGAAGTCAAACTTCTTCATATTTCTATAAACCACCAGTGTGACCACTGATTCAGATTTACAATTACTGTAGACAATGGATTCAGACAAACAGTCCAGACCACGTTTGTTGGGAACAACCATCCCAGCTGCACTTATGAGAGTAAGTCTCATCAGAGAGAGCCATCTCAGGGGGGGTCAGCCGATGTCAAGGTATATCAATTTTACGAACCTTCACCCCCCCAGCGACATCACTGCCGCTCATGTGTTAAATGGCTCTGGTGGACAGAAGAGAATGTCTTTGTGCAGAAATAAATGGGAGGTAGAGAATGAGGTTTAGATGACTCCTCGGAGGTGCATCAACCTACATCTGTTCACGCTGTCTCTCCGTCTTTTCTCTCACTCCGTTACCTGTCCTGTTTAAAATACACTTTTTATATAAATATCACACTATTCAAATCACCCTATTTATAGTTTCTTTTCTAAGACAGTTGTCGTGGTTGCTCTTGATCCTTCAAATCCGAGACTTTCATGTGACACTGACTCTCAGGTGATAACAGGAGAAAACAAACGTTTCGACACGTGGCAAATTATGTTGTCCTTTATGTGTGTATTCCGTGCGTAAAAAAACAAAACATAATTTCACTTTAAAGTCGCTAGAAAGGAAATATTTTCATTCTCTTCCCACTAGAGACAGATGAGGCAGAGAGCAGGCTGTTGTGACAGATGTTCAGCTCAGCTAAACAGAGCCTGTGATAACACAAGCTTGTGAAGACACACACTGTAAAAACACTGTTGTGCACAACAATTCCAAAGATCTGCTGCCACACAAAGACACACACAGGCTGTACCTACAAGGAGGAACACAGCCTTCATGCTCACAAAAACACTCCCTACCCCCGCCCTCTTTTATCCCTCTCTAGCTGTACCACACACACACACACACACGTAAACACACACACATACACCGCCGTACTGAGGAGAAATTACTTTGAACTCTGTGTCAGGCGGCTTGAATGCAGCTGGGATCAGCAGGGTCATGGAGCTTTTTGAGAGGTGAGATGAGGTCCAGCCTCTTCTCTCCTGTCAGTCCGTCTATCCATGTCTCTGTCCCCACTCTGATGTGCTGATGGCTGGCGAGGTCTCAGGGGTTAGTGGTACATGTTAGACCATCAGTGCTCCTCCATAAGGCTCTTTTTGTTATAGGGAGCACTTTGATGTAGTCGCTGTCCCTGTCACACCGACTCTCTCCCATGGTCAGTCGTCAAAAATCTAGTTTTCTTTTAAACAAGATCAAGTCTTTCAAGTAAATACCCCACTGATTTAAACCCCACTGTGAAAGGACAGAAATGTAACTCTGTGCCTTAAATGTTGTAAAAACTGCTTCCAATATGGACAAACATCTCTCTATTCAAAGTGCTTGTAGCTCAGCGACCGCCGTCCATTGATTTTAGCTCAGTCTACAGTCATATATACAGTGGAGCAGGGCAGTGACAGTAACTTAAAAGACAATTTTATGAACACTTTTTAGCAGCCAAGTTGCTGTTCTATGGTGCTGTGACAGCAGTAGGATCCTCATATGTATCACAGTATACAGTCCAAAGTGTTTTTTAATTAATGAGCTGAAATAAACAAAACACCATCGAAGTAATTACTTCATTGATTGTGATTAAGATAATTTTGGTTTTTGATTCCACCCTGGTTGGCAGGACTGAATCTGCTGCCAAGATGTTTAATCACGTTTATTAAATTGCTGTAGACAAGACTGTATCTAATCTATTAATAGGCCACGTCGTTACATTGTGATTTGCATCTGGAAAGATTCCAAATGTTGACTAACGCCCATTGATCTGAGACGTACGTCTGTGTGAGCGGCTTCTCGTCCGCAGTGTGTTGGTGCGCTCGCTGCAGAGAAATAGAAATTCTACTGACAAAGCAAAGGAGAGACTTATCCATAATGCATTATTTTGAGATTCACATTTTTTAAAATTCAAAACAAACCCAAATAATTTCTGTTTGTGCACATGCAAAAACTGCGAGCATGCAAAAATCTGATTTCATTAAACAATGTTGTCGGATAAAAACACAAGGCTGAAGATTAACAGGGGTGAAACAAAGGGAGAGTGAGCATGTGTTCATCCTTAACCCTCTGAATGCACGCTGAAACACACACACACAGATTAATTATTCTCTTGATTCATTGTGAGGCATCCTTTTGTTAATTAGCTCAGGCAGGGTTTTGCATATTGTGTATGTTTATTTTTTGCTGCTCTATAAAAGGAAGAGTAATCTGGAATTGGAAAGGGAACGTTTCTTAACATAGTTTAGTCTCACACATACACACACACACATAGAGGGCTGAGGTTCCACTACATAATGAATATGTAGACATTTTGTTTCGGCCAAATGTAAAACAAAACCTTGCACACATTTTAGTTTGTAAGCCGAGATTTGAGAATATCTACAGGTGAAAATCCACTGGGTCTAACGTGGTAACACACTTGTAGTAATAATTCTTAGTAATTCATTAAAACAGCTGTACAAATTTGGAATCAGCGCTGTAGTAATTTTAGCAAGTTAGTACTTACTACTTACTTGCTGAATTCTGTTTTATTCATTTACATCTAATGGAGTAACAGGAATCTAGGAATAATATGACTCATTTACTTTCATACTTGGCCAACAGACCTGTTTTTGATTGTGATTCTGAGATAGCTGGAAGTTAGCTAGCATGCTACTTCTACAAGTCAGCAGGACGTACTAAGTTGTTACGATAAAGATTCTCATTATAATAAAAATTGTGTGTTTAACTTCACTTAAACTTAAACTTAAACTTAAACTTAACTGCAATCTTTGTTTTGGCTACACCTTTGCAGGCAAAATATATTTTTTAAATGCAGACAGTGATATTATTACTTTTCTGGTCTTTTCAACAGTGCTGAAGTATTTTCTAAGTTTCCTCTCAGTAAAACTGTAGAAACAACACTCAGCAGGACTCTTCTCGGCTGCATGAATTCTAAACAGAGATGGTTGCACAGAAAGATGGAGTTCTTTCTTTTGGATATGGAAAAAGATTCTTCAAGAGAAGTCATCACTTTCTGGGCTGAAGTTGACAGTTGGCAGAGTCTAGGCAGACACATTGAGTGGAATGGGCCTCCAGCTGTGAGTGGTCAAAAACACATTCTATATGTATTGAGTCTTATAGTGGGGAATTGCAGAATACCGACAAAAACATCCCAGTTTTTCTGGTATTTTTTGCATATTTGTGCGCGCTTGTGTGTATTTCTAGGTGTGTGTCGTACACACAGTGTTTTCTTGGTAGGTTTATAGATGTTTAATGCATGAAAAAGCTCATCTTTGTCCGTGATGATGAGGGCAGCGAGTCGTCTCGGTGCAACATCCACTTTTCCAGCCATGCTCACATCCGAATGCAAGCAAGCAACAGATGGCATATCAGGCAGCGGCGGACGATTTAGTCCAGCCGTGTTTGCTAGGAAGTAATTGTGTTTTAACCTGGAGAGAAACTGAATATTACGACCACGCAGGTAAACAAATTATAGTCACCTCACTGGCAGCCAGATGACTCTGTTTGTCTCATGTCCAGATGGAGTTTGAAGAGAATAAATTGGCCCGGGATGCAGCCTGGCTGCGGTGCACTCACGTTAGTGTACGAGAGCGTCAGAGTGTTTGCCTGGTCGTCTGTTTGTCCGTCTTTTCTCCACAACCTTTTCCACATCCTTGACAGATGCCTGTCTTCCTCCTCATACGTCAGCCTATCTGTTGTGTGTATCGCAGCAGATGTTTCATTACGGCGGTTCTTTATGGACGAAGACGCAGCACAGGAACAAAGAATCTGTTCATGTGGATTAAAACATCCATATATTCACCTTAGCTTTACGCCACTTATTAAATTCTGTTGCTGAACAAAGCCCTGGGCACACAGATACTAGAGAACGGCGTGTTTTTCATGATAAATGTGTGACACAAAGGACAAGTGAGGTGGAACAAATAAAGTCGCCGTGGCGTCACATCTTGATTTTCAACACTCGCTGTTTACATAAAACATTCTTGAAGGAAGCGCTCGTTCACTGTCAGCCGGCGCTCCGAGTGCCAACTGTGTATCAGAGAATCCCCTGCAATCTTTGTTTTGGCTAGTGTGAGGCGGAAAATGATTACCCAGAGTGCTTTGGGAAGTTAATGTTCATGGTCTGCGCAGCAGGCTCCTAAGAGTGATGACAGAGGAAGTGCCTGAGGGTGAGCATCTCTTCAGTGCCATCTCACTTTCACTGTTTCTGACAACACGTTTATCCCAACAGATGGCTCCAGTGCTCGCGTGCAGACACTGTGAGGCTTCGAGGAGCTGTGTGGGCTGAAAACCAACTTGTGTGAATTAATGTGAGATTGGCTAATGGGTTCTCAGTAGACAGCAGCGTGAGGAATGTGTAGCTTTGAATCCATCACAAATCTTTTTTTTTTAGATAATGTTCATTTATTCGTTTTGTGCACTTTTATTTTGGTGAGGGTTCTGGGGGCAGCTCAGGCCGTTAGATTCTGATTTTGGGCCATGTATGGACAAAAATAATCATATACAAACATTTACACCTGAGCTTCATTTAAAGCAGGTTACAAAAAGGATTTTAGATTTTAAAAAATGCTCTTTGTTTGTTAGCTTCTAACAAGCTTTAGCTAAATACTCCTGGCGGTGCTTTCCCAAAGCTGAAATACGGAAGAACTAATTATATGTGATTTATCTTATTATTGTGTTACAGTTAAATTACACAAATGGTCTAAAAATTAGATTTGATGGAGATTTAACCTGAATGTCTTTATTGGTATTCATGGTTTATTACTGTAAATAAATCAATGCCTACGAACATGTTTGGTTTGTTTTCCCCAAAGTAACAGCAATCAGACATGATGTGGGTGTGTGGGTGTGTGGGTGTGTTTGTGCGTGCACGCACGCAAATTACTGGTGGTAATTGTTACACCCATTAAAGTGCACAGGTAATGATGCAATGGCTACAACCTAGATGTCCACTTACCTGTCCGCCTACACAGAGCTTACACACACACACACACAGACACACACACACAGTCTGAGTCCCTCGGGCTTCTCTTCACACTAACGTGTCACCTTTCACAGGGTCCAGTGGAGCGTGCTGCTGCTGTGACTGTACTGACAGAGTGCACTGCTGCAGAGCCACAGACTGCGGGCGACTGTGATGTTAAAGGTCAGTGTTGCACATGCATGACACATCCAAACATTTAAGGGTTGCCCTGCGTGGACTTTAGCAGCATCTAGTGGTTAAATTACATCCTGCTGTTTTCCTATTTTTCGTATCTCATCATTTTAACAAAGCAAGAAAAAAAACCAAAACACGTGTTAGCCGCCAATTCTTGGATTTTCTCCAGCGGACTCACATGAGGACATTGTGGTAACTAACTAGTGGCTGCTGTAGAGAAGACCCTCCCCTGATTTACACCAAACAGGACTGGGTTGTAAGAAAATGTTAATGTTGCAGTGAGGTGGGGTTAATACATAAATCTGTAAAATAATGTAGTATTGATTTATTTTCTACCCGTAAAATATAAAATTAGGACACCTAAATATCACATGGTGAAACATTACAACTCTCCTCGACCTCCTGTAAAGGCTGTGAAGCGTTACTGTTTATTTATTTAAGCTAAATATACTGTGAGAACATTAAGATGTTTTATTAGGTTATTATTCAGACATATTTTTCGTGTACAAAGTAAACAGCACTGTTTTTGTACACAGTGGTGACTGTGGCTTAGTGGGTAGTGCAATTATCTAGCAATTGGATGGTTGTGGGTTTGATTCCGGAGTAGGTTACTGTATATGCTGCCCCATATGCTACCCCAGTGCCATGTTGCCTGTACACCTTTAATGTAAAGTGGACATCTGCGATGAGGACAAATGGTGTTCAAACCATTTTTACCTTTCACCTTTTTTACTCCACTACTTAAATATGTTTTTTTCTTTTATATATATATAACAAGTGCATCCTGGGAACAAACTTGTTTTTGTTGTTCAGGGCCTTGACATAATTTAATAATAAAATGTAAGTGTACAAGTTGCCCGTGGATTAAAATGTGGGCCAATTAGAGGATATATACTCTTTGCATGCGCGGCAAGGAGAAACAAATACATTTGCATTTATTAATGACTTCAGACTGAAAAAGGTTGTCTTTGACTGGAGAAAAAGACATGAACAAAAGGGGGGAAACTCACACTCGTTGTGTGTCAGTTCTGAAAGCACACAGTGTGAAATGAAAAAAGAAAAAAAAAAAGAAGGAGAAAGGTCGGTGACATACCACACAGGGAGTGGACATTCACTGGCAGTTACTTTTTAAATTATTCTCCTGTGGACTCTCGCTGTGAGTGGTGATCACAGTAGGGTCAGAGGGAGCTGCAGTTATTATGCCTTTTATTCTCTGGACAGTTTCACATCATTAATGTTACTTTAGGAATGGAGGAATTGTTCACATGTTCACAGAAAGGTCGGAAAGCACACTGTGGTTCTGTGTGTTACGTGAGAGTCAAGTAATAACGGCTGACTGGTGACTTCACGTTCATACACTTAGTAGAAATATGAGAGTAAAAATACTTTAAAACGGCAAATATATAATCTAATTTTCAGTATGTAGCTGCTCTTTTCATGTTGAAGCACAGGCTAATATCTCGATACCGTGGTCAGATTCCTGTTGTTTTAGCCTCTTCATTCCAGCTGCTAGAAAAATCCAAATGAAGCTCGGAATTGGTTAACTGCTCTGCGAACATTCCCTATTAGGGTAAACAAGATTGTACTTTCTCCTATCTCCCATAAGCCTCTGCCCCTAAACAAATTAAGACGCTCATTTGCATAAGCGAGATGGATGAGATCGGAGGAAAAATACTTTTCTCTCCGGAAGCCGGTTGCACACTCAGACGACGGAGGAATCTCAGATGAGATGTCGCAGCCCATTAGAACGACCATGTTTCATCATTTTTTATCAAATGTATTTGTGTAATACCGCTCAACTGTAGGGGGCTTTGGGTAGAATAAGATTTTAAAAAAAGAGCATAATGGTTAAATGCAAGTCAAGAGAGTGTGAGGAGTGAGTAAGAGAGAGAAATAAAAAGAGAGAGAGAGAGAATGCGATTGGTTACGTAATAGTTTGTTGCTGCACAAAACAGAGACGGTTCTTTAGCTGGCAAATTTTTACCTTTGCAGTTCTGTGCTCATTGCATATGCATTACTATTATGGATAGCCAAGTCAGCATGTACAGTATAGTGGCAGCTTTGGATACTTTCTACTATTTCATACTATTTCAACATTTTTATTTGACCTGTAAGTAAAGCCTCAGAATAGTTCAAATCTGGGGAAAGGGGTAATAACAATGTCATCCATCCATCCATCCATCGTTTTTTGTTGTTTATTGTTGCACAAAACTGTAAGGACTTTTGATTGGAACTTGATTTTAGGCCAACAGTCAGGTTTTGACCTGGGGTAAAAGTCGTCACATAGAATTCTTTTTGGTGGAAATGAGCTTTGTGAGATTGTTTTCAATTTGTCCAATAACTTTTTTAACTTAGCCTGATACGTGACATATCAAATATTCAACAATATATCAAAAACGTGACATATCAAATATTCAACAATATTTACGTGTGCCTTCAACAAACCTGCACCGTGGTCAGAGCTGCCTGACACAGTAGGGTTTGTTTGTGTACTAAAAAAAGCTGCACCACAATTTTCCACAATCATTCACAGTGTATGGGCTGGGGCACCTGGGGTGCACCGTGTGCTTCTGCCCTGCGGTGAAATTGCTGTCAACACCTAAACCCCCTCCTTTTAGTGTTGGGAGGCTGTGGTAAGTTGTCAGGCTCTGTCCACTCTTCACCTCTTCCCTCGCTGTGAAGATCGCCATGATACATTCACAACTCTAAATTTACTGCCTTTAGCTCTCCATTGTGCCTGGAGAAAATTGTTGCAGTTATATCTATGGTGTGCAGGTCTTTCTGTACCTGTCAGTCTTTCATTGTCCGTCTTGGTCAACCCACTCCTGGTTCACACTAGCTTCACAAAGCCGAGGATTCAGAAGCAAATTTATTTAAGCTTCAGCGTCTGGTTTGGTTTTCAAACATTAAAAGGATGTGTGGTGAAATATGTTTCTCTTGCGAGGCTGGTGTTTTTATTGCTGCGTAATAAACAGCGCTACACTTACTGCAGGCAGCTGCAAACAACATTAATATTATAACGCTAAACAAATGTTGAAAGATGTCTTGCGTTTAAATCAAATCAAATTAGCCGTCTGACAATAATAATGTTCTTTATATTTCCCCACGATAGACTGTGCTGCTCTACCACCAAGAGGCAATTAATTTCCTGCTAACCCTGTCTCAACAACCTGTACGATTCAGTGGATTTGACGTGTGTGAGTGTTAGAACACTCATTGACTCGGACCATTAGTGAGATAATGTAGACAGTTTCCAAGGAGAGAGAGAGAGAGAGAGAGAGAGGGAGGGAGGTGAAGCATAAGAAAGACAGCCCCCCAGGAGAGTTTAGAAGTGGCACCATAAATAATGCATGACTGCTTAATTTATGGCTAAACTTTAAATAGCACTGAAACACATGAAAATCCATCCTGTTATAATATTAGCTGCAGCAGATACCAGACGTTTTCAGATTTGTCATGTGGCTCTGTATTAAAGACACTTAATCAATGATTGTGATTAGCAATACCCAGGTTTATTTATATATATATATATATATATATATATATAAAGCTTTTAAATATAAAATTATAAATTAATAAGTAAATTATTTTATGCCATGTGTGAGGGAATAAGAAACTTTGCTCTCACAGCAGCAACACCAAAAACTGAGCAGTAATACTGCATCCTAAGTAGACTCACTGTGCAAGTCTCTTGTCAAACATTCTGAGCCTTGCCCTGAAAGCAGCAAACATATGCCAACAGTCTGCCTGTATTTGTTTATTTGACTTTTAAACACAGGGAAGAAATACAGCACAAATATAGAGTACGGTGAACTTGTTAATGTTTTTACTCACCAACGAATAAAAAAACGCACCTCAACATTTGACCCCAAAGAATCATTAGCAGTAAAAACTTGCTAACTATGTATTGAGCTCACTCTACTTGTAATGTCTGATCCTTTACTACAGTGGGATATTTAATACTACACCATTAACATGCAAATACTGGGAGATATTAATATCAATGCATCCCATTGCATATAAAGTGACAAAAAGTGATTTACATAATAATATGTACATAACTTGACACTGTTAGCATATGTGTCAAATACACCAGTGGTACCGTTGGGTTTATTTTTAGGATTAATACCTTATGTACTGCAGTTAATGCTTAGCCTCTCAGTTAACTTGTCAAGTTATGGTGAGAATATGTCACTGAGCAGCATGCAAAAATATAAAAAACACTGCGTCGTGCAAAAAAACAACACCAAAAAAAAAAAACACTAACATGGAGCTGATTGCGTCTGTTCAGCCGAGCCTCGCCCATCCTCTGCTCCTCTCCTCCATGGTAATGAGGCGATGAATGGCAGCATGTCTACAGGCAGGGGAAGCAGACGCACCGTGCAGCTGTGGACGCCTACGCATGAGACAAGCGTTCCCTGCCGGTCCGCAGGCTCCCACCCGAGGGTCTGGTTCTTATAGTTTAGAGGTGTGGAGGTGGATCTGGTGTAGCAGGAAGTTCTATGATACAGGGGTGGTTTATGGAGAAGAGGAAAGACAGCGTGTTATTGTCATTCTTCTGTATTCCTTAATAAATAATTGAAGGTGGATGTTTAATATTCAGTGTGAAGTTTGTCCACATCTTAGTGTGTCTAATGTGATAATAGGAAGTGAGTGGAAACACCAACCTCTGTTACTAAATAAGGCAAAGTGGCCGTGTTTACCTCATGCTTGATCCAATTAAAATGATGAATGTTGTCAGAACTTTGATTACATTTGCAGCTGAGAAGTCGAGCACCTGAAGTGGAGGAGAGTTTCAGTATTTTACATTACTGTCATTTATAATCACTTCATGATTTTCTGACAGTGTATTTCCGTTCTCTGTCTTCGCCCCGCAGTCTTAAATAGTGTAATAATCTGCTGATTCCCCCTCCATCTGCAACTGTGGACTTGAATGTTTTCCTTCCACTTCATGTTATTTTTATTAAGCACTGTGTTAGTGCCACAGA